TAATAATAATAATAATAATAATAATAATAATAATAATAATAATAATAATAATAATAATAATAATAATAAAGTTGGAAGGGACCTTGGAGGTCATCGAGTCCAACCCCCTGCTCAGGCAGGAAACCCTACACCATTTCGGACAAATGGCTGTCCAGTCTCTTCTTAAAAACTTCCAGTGTTGGAGCATTCACCGCTTCTGAAGGCAGGTTGTTCCACTGGTTAATTGTTCTAACTGTTAGGAAGTTTCTCCTTGGTTCTAGGTTGCTTCTCTCCTTGGTCAGTTTCCATCCGTTGCTTCTTGTCCTGCCTTCCGGCGCTTTGGAAAATAGCTTGACTCCCTCTTCTTTGGGGCAGCCCCTGAGATATTGGAAGACTGCTATCATGTCCCCCCTCGTCCTTCTCTTCATTAAACTAGACATACCCAATTCCAGCAACCGTTCTTTATGTGTTTTAGCCTCCAGTCCCCTGATCATCTTTGTTGTTCTTCTCTGTACTCTTTCTAGAGTCTCAGCATCTTTTTTACATCGTGGTGACCAAAACTGGATGCAGTATTCCAAGTGTGGCCTTACCAAGGCATTGTAAAGTGGTATACAGAGTGCAAGCAAAGCACGTCAACTCAGATTCTGTCAAGATGCGTTCCTTATTTTTAAACTGACGAAACTGGGAATTAAAACTCTTTTCCGGGGATATACAGATAGTCCCCGAATTACAACCGCGATGGAATCTGCCCTTCACAATCATAAGCTGCGAGGGTCATAAAATCAGTCGGTCAGGTGATGGGCCTGATTTTATGACCTTTTTTTTTTGCAGTGGTCCTAAAGAGAGTAACGTGGTTGTTAAATGAACCTGCGATTCGCTATGGATGCAGTTTTGCCCCAAACGGGGAGAAATGTTGATTTTCAGTAAAAGCATTGTAAAAGGTGATCTCATGACCGGGGGGGGGGGGGAACTCTGCAAAGAGCCCCAAAAAAATGCAGCCTGGTTGCCAAGCAACCGAAGTTTGGTCATGTGACTAGAAAAAGGCCCCACCTTACAAGTAGTCCCGGATTGGCTTCAAATGGTTGCTAAGCAACCAGGCATAAGTGGAACAGCCTGCCTCCAGAAACGGTGAATGCTCCAACACTGGAAGTTTTTAAGAAGAGACTGGACAGCCATTTGTCTGAAATGGTATAGGGCAGTGGTAGGCAACCTTGGCTCTTTTATGACTTGTGGACTTCAACTCCCAGAATTCCTGAGCCAGCATGGCTCAGCTTGGAAACTCTCCCTTTCTCCTCAGCATGGCTGGCTCAGGAATTCTGGGAGTTGAAGTCCACGAGTCATAAAAGAGCCAAGGTTGCCTACCCCTGGACTAGATGACCTCCAAGGTCCCTTCCAACTTTATTATTATTAAGTCGAGAACTACATATATAAAAGCCGTCCTCGGCTTACAACCCTTCGTTTAGTGACAGTTCAAAGTAACAACTGCATGAAAAGAGTAACCCATGACCGTGTTTCACACTTACCACTGGCCTCCTTGTGGTCACATGATCCAAATTCGGAGGCTTGACAACTGACTCATATTTATGACGGTCGCAGTGTCCCAGGGGTGTCATGTGATCCCCTTTTGGGAACTTCTGACAAGCGAAGTCAACTTCTGACAAGCGAAGTACTAAACTGCAGTGAGTCACTTGACAACTGTGGCAAGAAAGATCATAAAATAGGGGCAAAATTCACCTAACAATTGTCCCTCGTTGCAGTGGAAATTTTGGGCTCAATTGTGGTTGTAAGAAAAAGACTACCTGTATTTCTCCTTAGGAACAGAAGCAGGCTATTGCTGCTGTCTATTCATCCCTCCACTCTCTTTTCCTCTCCCCCCCCCCTTAGACATCACCATTAAAGTGGACGACCCCGAATGCATGTCCAGCTCCAGCTACCGAGATGCGGAGAGCGAACGGTTTCTGTCTTCCGGGAGTGCCACGGGGCGGCGGGTGTCTTTTAATGAAGCTGCCCTTTTTGAGCAGAGCAAGAAAGCGCAGGAGAAAGGAAGGAGGTGAGTTTTGAGGTTTGATCAGGAACCGGTAGGCTGGGCTGGGAATTGGAGGTTCCACATCTGGAAGGCGGGAGAGGGAGCTGAGGTGGTGCATCTGAATAATAGAATGAAAGAACTGGAAGGGACCTTGGAGGTCTTCTAATCTATTCCAGAGGTCCCCAACCTTTTGGGCACCAGGGACCGGTTCCGTGGAGAGAAGTTTTTCCGCGGACCGGAGGGTGCGTGGTTTTGTGTGCTGCCTGCATCCCACGGATGGGGCTTTGCTTGTTTGTGCGGACCGGTTGCTGGCATGCCACAGCTCAGTACTGGTTCACAGTACTATTCCAACCCCCTGCTCAGGCAGGAAACTCCATACCATTTCAGACAAATGGCTGTCCAGTCTCATAATAATAATAATAATAATAATAATAATAATAATAATAATAATAATAATAATAATAATAATAATAATAATAATAATAGTAATAAACTTGGAAGGGACCTTGGAGGTCATCTAGTCCAACCCCCTGCTCAGGCAGGAAATCCTATACCATTTCGGACAAATGGCTGTCCAGTTTCTTCTTAAAAACTTCCAGTGTTGGAGCATTCACAGCTTCTGGAGGCAGGTTGTTCCACTGGTTAATTGTTCTCACTGTCAGGAAATTTCTCCTTAGTTCTAGGTTGTTTCTCTCCTTGGTTAGTTTCCATCCGCTGCTTCTTGTCCTGCTTTCAGGCGCTTTGGAGAATAGCCTGACTCCCTCTTCTTTGGGGCAGCCCCTGAGATATTGGAACACTGCTATCATATCACCCCTCGTCCTTCTCTTCATTAAACTAGACATACCCAATTCCAGCAACCGTTATTCATATGTTTTAGCTTCCAACCCCCTGATCATCCTTGTTGCTCTTCTCTGCACTCTTTCTAGAGTCTCAGCATCTTTTTTGTATTGTGGTGACCAAGTGTGGTGTTACCAAAAAATTGCAAGCAGTACTAACACTTCTCATTATCTTGATACTATATGACGCAACTTAGGACGGTTGTGGTCTTTCACTGAGGAAGTGGGCTGGGGAGAGGTATTCAGTTCTCTTTTGCTTAGTCTGAAAAAGTCTCCCATTACTTTTGAGAAATAGCACTATTAGTAGTAGTACTGTATAGTGGTAAGTAGCAATCATAGCAATAATAGGTTTATATCCCAGTTCTTCTTCAAAACTTCCAAATGATGTCCTTTCCCCTTATTCTCACAAGAACGAAGGGCCCTGTAAGGTTGAGCTGGGAGAAAAGTGAGTGTTTCTATGGGTCAGGGCAGACTAGAACCCGGGTCTCCCTGATCTACATCTGATTGGCTGTTGAACTGAGAGGGAGAGACTGGGCTAAAGTCAGCCAATGAGCTTCTGTGTCTAGAACTAGAATCTCCCCACTCCTGGTCCAGCACCTTCTCAACTTCAGCTGATTGGCTCTTGGAGTGAGAGGGAGGGACTGGCCCAAAATCAGCCAATGAACTTCCGTGTTGAAAGAAGGGAGTAGGACTGTAGTTGCAACACATTGAAAAAGTGAGATGACCATTTTTCACACTTAACAACCGTTGCAGCATTCCCCAGGGTCACATGATCAAAACACAGGCGCTTGGCCACTGGTGTATATTTATGACAGTTGCCCTGTCCTGAGGTCATGTGATCACCATGTGTAACCTTCCCGGATGTCTTCCGACAAGCAAAGTCAACGGGGAAAGCCAGATTCGCTTAACGACCACTTGATTGACTTAACAACTTCAGCAATTCGCTTAGCAAACTGTGGCAATGAAGGTCGTAAAAACGGGGCAAAACTCACTTAACTGTCTTTCTTAGCAATGGAAATTTGGGGCTCAATTGTGGTCGTAAGTCGAGGACTCCCTGTACACTTCCTTTTCTCTAGAAGTAAAATGTGGGATTGTGTTAAGATGACTTTGTGCTTCCTGCTTCATTGTGGCTTTTTTTCCCTGCTTTTCCCGGTAGGTACACTCTGACCGAGGGTGATTTCCACCATTTGAAGAATGCCCGCCTCAGCCATCTGCCCCTGCCACCCTCGGCTGCCCTCAAAATCGTCACCATCCACGAGTGCGAATCCAACGAGAACAGCATGATGACGACTCCACGCCTCCCACCGGTCAAGCCGAGCCTTGCCATCTTCCAAGTGAGCCCCTCATCCCTCCAGGGCAGGGGTAGGCAACCTTGGCTCTTTTATGACTCGTGGACTTCAACTCCCAGAATTCCTGAGCCAGCCATGCTGAGGGGACAGGGAGAGATTTCCATGCTGAGCTATGTTGGCTCAGGAATTCTGGGAGTTGAAGTCCACGAGTCATAAAAGAGCCAAAGTTGTCTACCCCTGCTCCAGGGTATGGGGGTGGAATCGAATTGGGCTGGGGGGATCAGTAGGACCAAGTCTCTCCAAGGGTGTTTTAGGTCATTCTATTCCAGTGTTTCTCAATCTTGGCCCCTGGAAGATGGGTGGACTTCAACTCCCAGAATTCCCCTGGCTGGAGGATTCTGGGAGTTGAAGTCCACCCATCTTCCAGGGACCAAGGCTGAGAAAACATTTTTCTATTCTGATGTTTTTTTAAAAATTATAAATTCATTTTCCAAAGTCTGAATAAATCAATAAATGAGTTTGTCTTCACACAACCAAGATAACTTGGTTAGTGGATTAGTCTGTTTTCTGGGGTTACACAATTAAACATACCAAATGGCCTCAATTTGCACACTAAGTGAAGCCACAGTAAAGGTAGCTAAGGTTAACACAAAATAAGTGTGTTGCACCAACGGAGCTGTTTGGTCTTCCAATAACTCAACTAAACATACCATTTGTACTTCCAAAATTGAGAATTTGACAGCTCCATTTTCAATTAGTTATTTAATTTATGTAAAACATTTTGTAGTCACCCTTTAAGTGCCAAAGCTTTCCAAGGCATCTTACACAAAGGAGTAATAATGTCAACAGTTTCCTTTTTTTTTTTTTTCACTTGAGTTGCTTTTAAAAATACTGTCTGGTTGCAAAGAACACCTTAAATACTTAACACAGATTAATACATACAATTACAGTATTCACACAACATGAGATGTTCATACAAGTAGCCTAGAGCAGAGGTCTCCAACCTTTTGGGCACCAGGGACTGGTTCTGTGTAGAGAGGTTTTTCCGCAGATTGGAAGGTGCGTGCTCTTGTGTGCTGCCTGAATCTCACGGATGGGGCTTTGCTTGTTTGTGCGGACCAATTGCTGGCATGCCACGGACCGGTACTGGTCCACAGACCGGGGGTTGGGAACCCCTGGCCTAGAGAGCTGCATGCTATATTAATAAATTAGACCGATTGGTAGATATGTAAGTAGGCAGGCAGAGAGGTGCTAGATAGGCAGAGAGATAAAGAGATAATGGTAGGTAGGCAGATAGAGAGATGATGCAGATAATGATAGAGTGATAGAGAGAGTGAGAGAGATAATTATACACACACAGAGATATACAAACGTACATAGATAATGATAGACCAAAGATAATGATAGATGTTCTCCAAAGGTGCTTTTTCTGAAAGGCAACTGGCTTTTCTTGTTTTTTTCCTTGAAAAAGTTTAACTTCTCATCCAAGAAGTTTTTTCAGTTCTAATGAAACAAAATGTTTTCAAAGAAAAAAATTGTCCAGTTGCCTTTTGGAATAACCATAACCATAACCTAGAATTGAGAATCTCCGTAGACATCAGTAATGATAATATCAGTAGAGACAATAGATGATAGATGATAGATAGATAGATAGATAGATAGATAGATAGATAGATAGATAGATAGATGGCAGATAGATAGATAATAGATAATAGATAATAGATAAATGATAGATAGATAATAGGTAAATGATAGATAATAGATAGATAAATGATAGATAGATAGATAGATAGATAGATAGATAGATAGATAGATGATAATGATCAATAGAAAGATAGATAGTGATAGATGATAAAGTGCTCTACAGTCATACCAGAGAGAAACGATAAATAATGATCAATAGAGAGATAATGATAGGATAGATAAGGAGAGAGAAATAATGATGGATGAGAAATGAGAGAGAATTGGCTGAGAGATGGATCAATCTTTGATTTGTATATAGGTAAATAAATTTAGACAGGAGGATTGTCTCTCTCTCTGAAGCATCTATTCTATCTGGTGCCCTTCAGATGTGGTGGGATCCTAGGTCCCCAGGGTCTCCATTCAGCTAGGTAGGACACGTTGACTGGCTATTACTGATATTATAATGCTCATAGATCTGGGTTAGGTCGGGTTAGGAAAGCTGTTACAAAATAGTTAATGGAATATCTAAATTTCCCATAAAAGTTTGAATCCCATTTTTCATGTCATCTGAAACCTTTCACAGCAGCCAACCATGAATATTGGAAATGTATTCAAATTGAGATAGAATTCCTAAAATTCTCATTTCAGCAGTTACTGATGTCTCTTAACACAGTGCTTTTAAAGGGAAGAAATCTACTTTCTGAGTTTCATAGAAGCCCTTAAATTAGAATCTTAAAAACCAGGGGAAGTGGGCTGCAATAAGTCCTTTGGATATCTTTAATAATAATAATAATAATAATAATAATAATAATAATAATAATAATAATAATAATAATAATAATAATAATAATTATTATTATTATTATTATTATTATTACTACTACTACTACTACTACTACTACTACTAAATTTATATCCTGCCCATCCCACTACTCAAAGTCTTTCTTGTCTTGCCTTCAGGTGCTTTGGAGAATAGCTTGACTGCCTCTTCTTTGGGGCAGCCCCTGAGATATTGGAACACTGCTATCATGTCCCCCTCGTCCTTCTATTCGTTAAACTAGACATACCCAATTCCAGCAACCGTTCCTTATATGTTTTAGCCTCCAGTCCCCTGATCATCTTTGTTGCTCTTCTCTGTACTCTTTCTAGAGTCTCAACATCTTTTTTACATCGTGGTGACCAAAACTGGATGCAGGATTCCAAGTGTGGCCTTCCCAAGGCATTATAAATGAATTTTCCCCATTTTATGATCTTTTTTGTCACAGTTGGGAAGAGAATCACTATAGTTGTTAGTAACACAGTGTTTAAGTGTAACTGGCTTCCCCCATTGACTTTGCATGTGGGAAGGTCTCAAAAGGGCGACCGTCATCAATATGAGTCAGTTGCCAAGCATTCGAATTTTAATCAAATGATCATGGGGATGCTGCAACGGTTGTAAATGTGAAAAAACAGTCATGTCCCTTTTTTCAGTGCTGTTGTAACGTTGAACGGTCACTAAATGAAATGTTGTAAGTGGAGGACTGCTTGTATGTGTAATGGCAGCCAATAGGAGCTTTATGTAAGAAAATAATTAATATAAGTTTATTGTGTTTCCAACGGAAAGTTAAGATAGCAGACACTTTGCCCAGCAAATGGCCGAAAAGCCGGATCAGTAGTTTACTGGGTTGTGCTTGATCGTCTTCTGCTTCCTCATCCTCCTCTTTCTCCTTCTCAACAGCCAACTGGAAGCCCCCTGCCCAAGACAGCGCTGACTAGCCATGGGGGTCTGTGTTCGAGTTCAACACTACCAGGGGACACTTTTAACTCCAGTGTTGAAGCTGCTTCCTCTGTTTCCTCCGACTCGGGCGAGGGAGTTGCGGTAGGTGAACCCAATACAGTGCAAAAAGCGGGCTGTATAAATTGTGCATACAGGTAGTCCTTGACTTACAATGATTCGTTTAGTGACCCAGGAAGTTACAACGGCACTGAAAAAAAGTGACTTATGACCGTTTTGCACGCTAAACGACTGTTTTAGCTTCCCCATGGGGTCACATGATCGAAATTCAGACACTTGGCAACTGGCCTGTATTTACGACAGTTGCTGTGTCCCAGGGTCACACGATCACTTTTTGCGACCTTCTGACAAGCAAAACCAGTGGGAAGTGAGATTCACTTAACAACCGTGTTAATAACTTAACAACGGCAGTGATTCACTTGTCAAGGATGAAACTTTGGCAGCTACGTGCCTCTGCGTTTCAACCTGCCTTTAGATTGGGGAAGGTGTTCCTTTCAAGTGGGTTAGATGGAGAAACGAAACTTCTTCGATTCATCCGAAGAACACGAGAGCCTGAAGCCTTGTCAAGGACACCAGAACAGGTGTGCATTTGAAGCGGATGGTTCCCATAACAAAGTGAACTTGTTGATAGGGAGTACATAAGACGTTGGGGATTTGGCTGGGAAAATTATTGTTTAAGTCTATGCATTGGTGTTGGAACCTCAGAGCTAGTTTTGCTTTCGACATAACCGCGAAGTGTATTCAATAAACAGTAAGCTTTTCAGAAACGGAATGAACGGAACGGAGTTTTATTTCGATTCTTGAGCTGGATGTGAACAGCCAGGGCAAGAAATGGTCGTAAAATTGGGTGCAACTCTCTTAACAACTGCCTTAGTTAGCAAGAGATATGTTGGTCCTAATTGTGGTCGTACGTTGAGGATTGCCTTTATTGGCATGTACACAGCACTGGGCCATGATTAACCCTTTCCTGTTCTCCATTCACACAGTCTGGCAGTGCAGCCAAGGCCGCTAAAGGAGCCCCCACAGCTCCTCCACAGGACCCCACCTCAGCACCTGCCCAGGGCACCGTCCTTCATTTCCTGACCCGCCTGCGCCGTCACGCTAGCCTGGAAGGAGCAAGTCCCTATTTCAGGATCAAGAAGTGGAAACTGGAAACCAGCCAGCGGGCCTCCAGTCTGGACACAAGAGGTGGGTGTCTCCGCTGGGTTTGGGAGGAGGGGGTTGCCAGCATTCCCTAAGTCTGTAAGTCAGAGTCCTAAAATCTAATGCAGTGTTTCTCAACTGTGGCAACTTGAAGACGCGTGGACTTCAACTCCCAGAATTCCCCAGCCAGCACTTGCTGGCTAGATTTAGTTGTTGGTTGTTTCATAGATCGTTTCATGGACGAATCTTCTGGGCTTGGAATAATTTTTAAGTAATTCTTAGGAAGAAGCAATGTGTGGTCATTGACTTAAAGAAGGGGTGTCAAACTCACCACGTCATGTGACGTGTCGTGACGTAGCGCGACTTTTTCCCCCTTGCTGGAGCTGGGGTGGGCGTGGTTTCGGGATGATGCATCCAGCCTGTGGGCCGGCAGTTTGACACCCCTGACTGGAAGGATGCGCCAAGAATCACTTTGCATTCTCTTGTTCAATGTTTCTCGAACTTGATAACTTTAAGACTTGTGGACTTCAACTCCCAGAATTCTGGGAGTTGAAGTCCACCCATCTTCAAGTTTCCACGGTTGAGAAACACTGATCTAAAACAGGGTTCCCCAATCCTCAGACCACGGACAGACAATCCGTGGCCCGTTAGGAACCAGGCCGTGCAAGCGAGCTAAGTCCCATCTTCGCACATGCAGGATCCAGGCAATGTGCGAAACCACACACACTCCATCCAAACCACCCTCCATAAAACTGGTCCCTGCCCCCCAAATGTTTGGGGACCCACTGACCTAGACATTCCTCTTGGATGTCCTTACTGGTCCTTCAAGTCTTCTAGGAAGGACTCCATCCATCTTGCTGCCGGTTGTTCTCTTCCCTTCCCTTCCAGCAGGAGAGACGTCTTCAGAGTACCAGATCCGACCTCATCTTTCCAACTATGAACCAGCATCGCAAGACTTAGTAGAATAGAGAAGCAATTCCCTAAAAAGCAGAGAAAGATCCTGCCTCTTTTCAATCGTGTGATATCGTGTGATATTTCCCATTATATCCCCACCAACTCAAATATATATGTATTACAGACAGTTCCAAAATTTTGGAACCCAAAATTTTTGTTGCTAAGCAAGACAATTGTTAAGAGGGTTTGCCCCATTTATTCACTTTTCTTGCCACAGTTGTGAAGAGAATCACTCTAGTTAAGTTGTTGTTGTTAGTTGTGAAGTTGTATCCGACCCATCGCAATCCCATGGACAACGTTCCTCCAGGCCTTCCTGTCCTCTACCATCTTCTGGAGTCCATTTAAGCTCACGCCTCCTGCTTCAGTGACTCCCTCCAGCCACCTCCTTCCTTCTCTGTCATCCCCTTCTTCTCTTGCCCTCCATCTTTCCCAGCATCAGGCTCTTCTCCAGTGAGTCCTTCCTTCTCATTAGGTGGCCAAAGGACTTGAGTTTCAACTTCAGGATCTGGCCTTCTAAAGAGCAGTCAGGGTTGATCTCCTCCAGGACTGACCGGTTTGAAGGCCTTGCAGTCCAGGGGACTCGCAGGGGTCTTCTCCAGCACCATAGTTCAAAGGCCCCAATTCTTTGGCGCTCAGCCTTTAGTTTTTAAGTGAATCCGACTTCCCCATTGACTTTGCTTGTCAGAAGGTCACAAAAGGGGATCACATGACCCCGGGACACTGCAACAGTCATAAAAACATGTCAGTTGCCAAGCATCCAAATTTTGATCATGAGACCGTGGGGTGATGCAACGGTCGTAAATATGAAAACTGCTCATAAGTCACTGTTTTCATTACTTTTGTAATTTCCAATGGTCACTAAACAAACCGTTGTAAGTTGAGGACTACCTTTAATGCTCTCCAAAAGATTGCTGGTCCCTAAACTGAAACGTGGAACAGTAGCATCTTGTACTGCAGAGACAAATGGACTCACTGATTTCAGTGCTTAAATTGAAGGAATAAAAACTTGGGAGGGGGGTCTTTGGTGCTCTCTGAGCCTGGCTGTTTTCTTGCAGACATTTCATGACCCAACTAGGTAACATCATCAGTGCTAGAAGTAAATGGGATTTGCAGAGTGGAGGAGGAGGAGGAGGACCGTGGGGTCCTTGGGGCTCTCTGAGCTTGATTGTTTTCTTGCAGACATTTCATGACCCAACTAGGTAACATCATCAGTGCTAGAAGGGAGTGGGGTTTGCTCTGACTAGTGCTGATGATATCCCAAAGGTGCTTTTTGTCCACAAGACAAATGGACCTTCTTGTTTTTCTTTGAAGACATTTTGCTTCTCATCCAAGAAGCTTCTTCAGCTCTGATTCAGCATTGAGGATGTTACCTAGTTAACAATAATAATAATAATAATAATAATAATAATAATAATAATAATAATAATAATAATAATAATAATAATAATAATAATAATAATAATAATAATAATAATAATAAAGTTGGAAGGGACCTTGGAGGTCATCGAGTCCAACCCCCTGCTCAGGCAGGAAACCCTACATCATTTCGGACAAATGGCTGTCCAGTCTCTTCTTAAAAACTTCCAGTGTTGGAAGGCAGGTTGTTCCGCTGGTTAATTGTTCTAACTGTCAGGAAGCATAAATACAGCCCTGCACAGAGAGCACCAAGGACCCCTCATTTCAACCCCAAACGGCAAATATTCTCCTTTATCAATAAAACCTCCATGGCCTGTGCATAGGGATTTTCGTAGGCAAGGGACAGATTTTTCCACCTCTTTTTCCCCTCAAAAAAATACCAAAACAAGTTTCAGAAATCAGGACTCCGGCCTACACTTCAGCGCCCGTCTCTTCCTTCAGGGTCCCCCAAGCGTCACCAGTTCCAGCGACAGCGAGCCGCGAGTGAAAGCATGGACCAGGATCGTGATCCTCACCAGACAGACATTATCCAGTATATTGCCCGGACGGACGACGTGGTTTTCCGGCCCGTGGCTGGACCATTCCTACCTGCTCCGGCCAGTCCAACATTATCTCTCGGCAGGTATTTTTCAGTAGATAAGTGGGAAGGGGGTGGGGGTGGGTCGATGCCCCAGAGAATAAGAGCAGGATTGAGAAACCTTTGATAGCTCTGGGGTGGAAAAACAAAACCAGAACGGACGTAACCACCATTGGGACCAGAATTTATGTGGCTAAGTGAGCTGCATAAATGTAATAATAAATAAAACAAATAAAGCGACCATTGTTTAAATGCAGTTGTACCCAATTTTACGGCCATTTTTGCACGGTTGTTAAGTGAATCACTGCAGCCGTTAAGCGAATCACCTGGTCATTAAGCGAATCTGGTCTTCCTCATTGAGTTGGCTTGTCAGAAACCGGCTGGGAAGGTTGCAAACGGTGATCACGTGACTCCGGGACGCCGCAACCGTCGTAAATACATTTACCGTGTGGTAAGATGGATGGCCAGTGAATTTGATAAATGAAATAAATAAACTGCCGGTTGCCGAGCACCCGATCACATGACTGCAGGGGGATGCTGTAACGGCCATAAGTGCAAGGACTGGGTTGTAAGTCACTTTTTTTTTGCAGTGCCGTTGAAACTTGGAACGGTCGCTAAACGAATAGCCGTAAGTCGAGGACTGCCTGTACCTCCTCTTGGAGAAGGTGATACTCTTGTGGAATTCAACATTGGGAATTTTCAAATTCATAAATAAAAGCTGAAGGACAGGTCGGAGTCCTTGGCTATCTGCCTTGGCTTGTTGGGGGGGGGGGGTTGAGAGGATGTTTTGAGGGGCCCTTACAAAATGGCTGCCGACCAGCTCCAGCCAGGAAGTTTTTAATGGCTGATAGCGGGAATTTTTCCTTCATTGTCCATGTTGATTTTGCTGAGGTCCTTCTTTTAAACATCAAGCCGTATTTCAGCCCTCATTGTCCTAAATAATAGATGGACTTAAATGGGAAGAAGCTATTTTAAACCAGACTCTCTTCAGCAGCCGTTCTTTTAAAACCTTCACCAAACGATTTTGTTTCCCGTCACTGTTGCCTAATTTTTCTTTTTTTAATAACTGAAAAGGCTGGGATCAAATCGGTTACATACCGCAGAGTTTCTTTCCCTCAGCGGTGGTGCTAGGATTTGAATGTCCAGATCGTTTATTGGATAAGAACCTGAATAATGGATGAACGTAGTGACCCAGATGCTTTGCCTCTTCCTTGCTAATGTAGTCTTTAAAAACAAACAAACACGTAATTTAAAAATAGATTTGGAGGAAATTATCTGCTTCCCACCCTGCTTTCTTCTCTCAAAAGGGAGGCCGAATCAGTCTGTCTCTGGAGGACAGCTGGTCCCCCAGAAGAACATGAGAATGGGAGAAGAGACTGGAGCAGGCTTATGGTCTAGCTTTCTGATCACCCAGTGGTGCACCAAAGGCTTTGGAGAAGCTCATGATGTATCTTTGCAGCTACAACAGCTGTCTCACCTTCAGGAGGTACAAGTAGTCCTTCAGAGATAGAATCAAGGTCACGTGAAGTATTAATACCACTTTACAATGCCTTGGTAAGGCCATACTTGGAATACTGCATCCAGTTTTGGTCATCACGATGTAAAAAAGTTGTTGAGACTCTAGAAAGAGGGCAGAGAAGAGCAACAAAGATGATTAGGGGACTGGAGGCTAAAACATATAAGGAACAGTTGCTGGAATTGGGAATGTCTAGTTTAATGAAGAGAAGGACGAGGGGTGACAGGATAGCAGTCTTCCAATATTTGAGGGGCTGCCACAAAGAAGAGAGAGTCAAGCTATTCTCCAAAGCACCAGAGGGAAGGACAAGAAGCAACGGATGGAAACTAATCATGGAGAGAAGCAACCTAGAACTAAGGAGAAACTTCTTGACAGTTAGAACAATTAACCAGTGGAACCACCTGCCTCCAGAAGCAGTGAATGTTCCAACACTGGACGTTTTTAGGAAGAGACTGGACAGCCATTGGTCCGAAATGATATAGGATTTCCTGCCTGAGCAGGCGGTTGGACTAATGACCTCCAATTATTATTATTATTATTATTATTATTATTATTATTATTATTATTATTATTATTATTATTATTATTATTATTATTATTATTATTATTATTTACAACCATTCCTTCAGTGACCGTTCAGAGTTACAACGGGACTGAAAAAAGTTATATAGCCAGTCCTTGCACCTGCAACTGACATTGCATCCCCCACAGTCATGTGTGATCAAAATTTGGGCATTTTGACAACTAGCATAAAGTTACCAAGGTTGCGTCATCCCGGGGAGGGTCACCTGATCGCCATTCGTGACCTTCCCAGCTGTCTTCTGGCAAGCAAAGTCAATGAGGGAAGCCAGATTCGCTTAATGACTGTGTGATTCACTTAACAACTGAAGTGATTCGCTTCTTTACTCCCTCTTTTACCACTTCGGCTGCCGAGGGAGATTTGCTTAACAGCAGTGGCCAAAAGCGGCGTAAAATTGGGCATGGCTCACTTAACCACTTCTGGTCCCAACTGTGGACTAGAAGACCTTCAAGGTCCCTTCCAGCTCTTTTCTGATGGATTGATCCAACTCCCTTGGATCGGTATCTGACTTGGGGTTAGGCTAGAAGACCTTCAAGGTCCCTTCCAGCTCTATTCTGATGGATTGATCCAATTCCCTTGGATCGGCATATGACTTGGGGTTAGGCTAGAAGACCTTCAAGGTCCCTTCCAACTCTATTCTGATGGATTGATCCAATTCCCTTGGATCGGCATCTGACTTGGGGTTAGGCTAGAAGACCTTCAAGGTCCCTTCCAGCTCTTTTCTGATGGATTGATCCAACTCCCTTGGATCGGTATCTGACTTGGGGTTAGGCTAGAAGACCTTCAAGGTCCCTTCCAGCTCTATTCTGATGGATTGATCCAATTCCCTTGGATCAGCATCTGACTTGGGGTTGGGCTAGAAGACCTTCATGGTCCCTTCCAACTCTATTCTGATGGATTGATCCAATTCCTTTGGATCTGACTATTTGCCACGCCTGAGGGGTCAGGAGGATTGAGTGGGGTGGGCGGGGCTTCGGTAGCACTGCTGCAACCACCATCTTGCCTTTGGATGTTGCGGGTCCTGGCGGCCTCGCCTTGAAGAGCGGGCACAGGCCTCGACCTGAAAAAAGATACGCAAACTCTGAGAACTGATGTAGACATAGATTTCTAGGAGCAGAAATCCACTAAGATTTGGTTGTCCCAAATGGGGCTTTTCAGGAGGCAACTGGACTTTCTTGTTTTTCTTTGAAGACGTTTCGCTTCTCCTTCCAGAAGCTTCTCCAGCTCTGACTGGATGGTGGGGAAGGATTTAGGTTCCTTGCAGACAGCTGGTCATTTGCCTTCTTTTAGACAGTCGTTTGAGGCTACTTGGAGGACCCACTTGCACCACTCCGGTGACTTTGAGGACACAGATAAACCTCCAAGTAGCCTCAAGGACTCTCTAAAAGAAGGCAAATGACCGGCTGTCTGCAAGGAGTATAAATCTTTCCATTCCCCCCACCATCCAGTCAGAGCCGAAGAAGCTTCTTGGATGAGAAGCGAAACGTCTTCAAAGAAAAACAAGAAAGTCCAGTTGCCTCCTGAAAAAAAGACACCTTCGGGACAACCCTGACCTGGATGACTAAGAATCTCCATAGACTAGATTTAGTCGGTTGTTTCACAGATCGTTTCATGGATAAATCTTCTGGGCTTGGAATAATTTTCAAGTAATTCTTAGGAAGAAGCAATGTGTGGTCATTGACGTAAAGCAGGAGTGTCAAACTCGCCACGTCACGTGATGTGTCGTGATGTATCGCGACTTTTTCCCCATTGCCGGAGCTGGGGTGGACGCGGTTTCGGCATGACGCATCCAGCCTGCAGGCCCGGCAGTTTGACATCCCTGACTGGAAGGACGCGCCAAGAATCCCTTTGAATTCTCTTGTTCAATGTTTCTCGAACGTGACAACTTTAAGACTTGTGGACTTCAACTCCTAGAATTCCCCAGCCAGCATTGCTGGCTGGGGAATTCTGGGAGTTGAAGTCCACTCACCTTAAAGTTGCCACGGTGGAGAAACGCTGTGTCAGAACTGCCATCAAACGCTTGAGCTTCGCATTCACTATCTGCCCGCCTGCCGTGGATTATGGGGGGAGGGAGCTGGGCGAAAGGGGGCAAGGCAAACAACTCATCGTACCTTCCAGAGATACCACCTCAAGGTCAAAGGCCTGGAAATGGAATGCAATGGCTCATCAACTAGCCCGCCATTGAAGAGATTGTTCCCAAAACAATTTATTCAAATGCAATTGGACAAAAAGGGACCAGTAAAGGGGAGGAACTGGATGGGAGAAAGTTAACCAGGGAACGTTGGCAGGCCGACTTCAGTTCTGACTTCTCTCTATACCAGTAGAGGCGAACCTATGGCACGGGTGCCAGAGGCGGCACTCAGAGCCCTCTCTGTGGGCACACGTGCCGTTGCCCCAGTCCTAGGCCTTCAGCTGGGTTTTATAAAATCTTTTCGCTTTAGGCCTCCGCCGCCGTGTGCAAAAAAAAAAAGGTTCAATCAATCAGTCAATTTCAACTTCTTGCAGGGAAAAAAAAAGATCTTGCAAAGTTGGAATTGATTGATTGATCTTTTTAGTCCCACCCAGTCTGCCGTTACCACCGCAGCCACGCCCACCCAATTGGCCACACCCAGCCAATGGGCCACACCCACACGGCACCCGACGATGCATAAGTGGGTTTTGGGTTGCAGTGTGGGCACTCGGTCTCTAAAAGGTTCCCCATCACTGCTCTATACTGTGTTCCACTTGGCTTTTAGTAAAGTATACCTTTCAACACGAAAGGAGTCAAGGGTCTTCCTTGCCTGAAGGATCGTCTTGGGGCAGGTCTGACACACCGGTCCTGATCCCGTGTTCTGTGTGCAAAGAAAGACGGACCGTGTCGTTGTTAAAGGCAAAGTGTATTTTTTTTCCTGCTGTAGGTTAGAGTCTTCCGAACCACCCAGTCCCACCCCACCCGAGCCATCGGAACAGCAGCCCACCCCCCTTTATCATGACATCTGGAGCCTACGGGCATCGCTAGAAAAGTGTGTTTCATCAGAGAAGGGCAACGATCAGGACTCGGCGCCCAGCGACGGTGGGGACAGCGTTTCCTCAAACGGCGGGCTACCAAGTTTCTCCTCCTCCTTGGCTGATGAGGCTGAAGCCGGAGAGGACAGGTCCTTGGCGAAACCCAAGCAGGATAGCGTTGAGTTGGAAGCCGGGACCCGTAAACTCTTGCAGATGGATAGCGGCTACGCCTCCATTGAGGCCCCCAGCGGACGAGTAGGAGAAGACCAGACGGCCTCAGAGAAACGTTTCTGCTTCACCAGCGCTGGACGCAAGGCCACCATCTTTGAGAGCTTTGAGGGACAGGAGCGAGAAGAAGAGGAGGAAGAGGAGGAGGAGGAGGAAGAGGAGGAAGCAGCTGGCGCCGTTGGAGGTCTCCTCCCTTCCAGTCCATTGCCCTGGGCACCATACGGGCAGATGTTCCCCGCACGAGAATCCTTCTCTCGCCGGGACTACAGCATCGACGAAAAAACAGACGCCCTTTTCAACGCCTTTGTCCGCCACGACCCCCAATTCGATGAATCTCCCCTGCGGGCCAAACACCGCTCCCGGACCCATTTGAGGAAGCAGTGGCAGCGTACCAAGCAGTACAGCGACCCCGGCGTTCGCTACCCCACGGCCCTGGAGAGGCACCGGACCCCCTTGCGTCGGGGTGACAGCGTTAACTACCCCCTGGAAGGGCGCTACCAAAGCACCCTGCCCCGCATTGTCAGCTCCGGGGACGAGGAGGTAGCCTCCCCCGCCACAGAAACAGGAGACAAGATCCAGGCGATCGAGGAAGAACCACCGGAGGAGGCCAAAACGGGATCCAACCTATACAGCAGGGACTGCCTCGAAGGCGGTCAGTGTCCAAGGCTGGGCACAGAACTTCTGGACAAGATCGCGGGGGGGCTGGAGGACATGTTTTTCACCCACTTGAAAAAACCACGAGAGAGTCTAGAGTGTGTGGTGGTGGTGGCCGCCCGGGCTTCCCCTGATCACAGCCCCGAATAGTGGCAAGGGGACGCACTGGGATGACCCTTTCTCTGTCTCGCCCTGAGGCTGGGGGGATGTCACGCAGGGCCTGCCAGCCAGCTGGGAGGCAGGGCGCTCCAGGGGCCCGAGGGCGCGGAGCGAGATCGAGGAACGCCCTCCTGCTCTGACAGCCTTCCGCTGTGTACGAGGCAGCCCCACCTGGAGGTCCCCTTGAGGGTTGAGAAGGTCCAGGGCTGAAGACGTGGCCAGCGGAGAGCTGTGTCTCGCTGGCCAGAAGACGGAGCCCACCGAGGACCTGGGGGAAGCTCTGGCTGGATCCATCCATGCCTTTCCAGCAGGGACCCGGAAGGTGGGGGGAGCATATCTCAAGAGGGGGGGGAACCTTCCCTTTTGGGGGGGTCTCTGAAGAGCGCATGGTGTCCGCTGGAGCCGAAGGGCCTTCTCTTCCTTCTGGTTAGATCCAGGGGTGGGGACGGGGGAGAGCCCACCGAATCTCTCCCCCATTTTGAAGCAGGTTTGCCAAAGTCGGCGTATCTCTTGTGCAGCCAGGAAGTTTTAAGTTTTCAGGGGCTCGTTCTCGAGGATAATAATAAATAATAATAATAATAATAAATAATAATAATAACGAGAGAAAACAGCCCCCAAATCTACCGGAGGCCTGACATACCTCACACTCTTAAGAGCTGGTTGTAGCAGATAATTTCAGCGCCTTCCACCGTTCCCCTTGCACAGCTCTCTCTCTCTCTCTCTCTTCTCTCTCTCTCTGGTTTTTTACAAGCAATAACCTGTCCTCCTTCCCCCCTTCCCCATCAGCAAAGCCATCTTTGCTCAAGGGTCTTTGCGGAGGGAGGGGCCAGCTCGGCCTTCCAGGCGGGGCAGACCCCCCTGTCTCAGCCCACGGACTGACGGACAGACAGATGTTTCTCCACCGAGGTCCTTTTTGTGTGGTGTGATGCGTGGAAGAGTTTACATTTTCTCCAGTGGCGGAATCTGCCTGTTCCTGGGTGGGTGGGGGAATGTGGGGGGGCTGGTAGGGGACCCCGAAACAACGCACGCTGCTTGAAGGATGAATAGCACAATTTCTCTCTCTCTCTCTCTCTCTCTTTCTTTCTCCTTCTCTTTCTCTCTTCCTCTCTTTCCGTTCCCTCCCACCCACCCACCTAGCACCTTTTGGCCAGTTTTGAAGGCTCGTTGTTCACACTTTTCCAGCTGTTCCTTGGGTTCCATATTTTTTTTCCATACTCCCCTTTTCCATGGTTCACTCTGCATCTTCCAAACCATCCTGTTTTGGTCCAGGGCTATCGCTTGCTTTTGGGGTTTTCTTGCTGCTTTGATGCAAAAAGGGCCGGATCGCGTTTTGGGGGCGATGGATCAGTTTTTGATCTTCTGGGCTGGTTGAAAAAGACGCAGAAGGCTCTGTGTGACCCCTTTCTTGGGGTGGTGAAGAATATTATTGTCGTTGCTTTAGGAGAGGAGAATTACTAGCATATGACCCGTTCTTTATTATTCCTTATTCTACAAGTTCCCCTTCTCCATCTATATGCAAAGCAGGTGTTGCTTTCGATTATTGTTATTATTTATTTCGGTGTGCATGTGTGTGTGTGTGTGTGTGTGTGTGTGTGCGCGTTTTCCCCAGAGCAGGTATTCCTTTTGTGGCATCCTTTGAGCAGGGGCTGGGGAGCCTTTCCTGTGTTATTTATTTATTTATTCATTGGCTTGGCTTTTTAATTTAATCCTTCCGGAGAGTGGCGGAGTAGTGAGGTGGGAAAAAAAAATGGGGGGGGGGAAAGGTTCATCTCTCCCGTTTCCTTTTGACCCCCCCCACCCTCCTTCCAAGCATCCTTTTCCTGTGGCAATCTGTAAAAAGAAAATCCACTTTAAATTTTAATTCCCCCCCCCACACACCACCTTTAATGCCACTCCTTTCTCTGTCTTTAGGCTTCAGATATTTGCAAAGATGGTTTTTTTTTTAATTGCATGTCAGGTTAAAAAGGGAACGATGATGCGTTCCGCTTCTCCAGTTTTGAATCGTGCGGGTCCAGAGCTGTTTTTTGGTGTGTGTGAGTGTGTGTGTGTGTAATTGATTTTGTGGATGAGTGCCACAATTGAGGGGAAAGCGAGGGGCTGAGCATGGAGCATGTGGGTGTGTTGGCACCCACACACAGGCACGTGCCACACGGATGTACAATTTCCTTGTGTTTTCGAATCTGCCTCGGCTGTTACCATCCTCTGCCAGGGGCTTGGCTGCAGTAAGCCCAAAGCCTCTGCACACATACCCCCAACTCAACTGCCCCGTGGTGGCACGCGCAACATGCAAACCGCAAAACTCTTTCGAAAATGAACTTTATTAAAAAAAAAAAACATGTGCCAAGAACAGGTCTCGGAGCACAAATCGCATTTGTCTGGGAGGGCACCTCGACCGAGATCTTAAGATTGAGTTTAGCCAAGGAAACACGGTGCCCGCAGCCTCATTTCCTGCGACTCTGCGGCTTTCTGCCCACCAAACAGACCTCTGATTCTGCTTTGTGTCCGTTTCCGTTGCTTCAAAGAGGCCACGTGCTGAAAGAGCAGCTTCTCTAGGGGTATTCATTTGATTCTAGGCAACCATTCATTTTAGGTCCAAAAAGGCACTTTGGGAGTAGAATCGTAGCACCCGTTTCCAACCCCAACGAAGAATTGCATCTTTGTTTTTTTGGGGGGTGGGACTCTGAAGAAGCCCTTTTTGTAAATGAATCCAGCTTATTGCACATATATTTTCTTCCTTCTTTTATTTCCACTAAGCTTTAGGATGCACCTTTCCATCAGCATGGAAGCATTCACAGGGAGTCCCCGACAGGACCCTACAGGTAATCCTCGACTTACCCAGTTCGTTTAGTGACGGTTCAAAGTTACAACAACACTGAAAAAAGGGACTTATGACTGTTTTTACACATGACCATTGCAGCTTCCCCATGTCACATGATCAAAATTCGGACGCTTGGCAACTACCTGTATTTATGGCGGGTTGCAGTGTCCCGTGTGTGTGTGTGTGTGTCGTGTGATCCCCTTTTGCTACTCAACAGGGGAAGCCAGATTGACTTCGCAGCCGTGTTACTAACTTAACCGCTGCAGCGATCCACTTAACAACGGTGGTAAAATGGGGCAAACCTCACTTAACAACTGCCTTCTTAGCAACGGCAATTCTGGGAGTTGTGGATCGAGGGCTAGCCGTAATGGAGCCTGCCCATTGTGGGCGCATGTTGCGACCGTCCTAAATCAGGTCACTCACTTGACTGACTCTATTTTAAACCATTTTTTGCAGTGGTAAGCAAAGGTGGCGGTCATAAGATGAGCACCGTGTGAAGTGAACATATTGTTCACTATGGTGCGGTTTGGCCCAAAATTGTAACTTGTGGTTTTCAGCAAAACCGTCACAAAACACTGGGATACTTTAAAGCAGGGGTCTTCAAACTTGGCCCTTTTATGACTTGTGGACTTCAAGTACCAGAATTCATCAGCCAGCATGCCTGGCTGAGGAATTCTGGGAGTTGAAGTCCACAAGTCATAGAGGGGCCAAGTTTGAAGACCCCTGCTTTAAATGGCCTTAAATGCAGCTATGTTGCTGAGCGACGGTGAGGGTCCAGCCTTCAAAACACAGCTGTAACTCCCTTTTTTCCCAGGTAGGTCATAATATCAACTGGTCACTAAGTGACCGGTCATAAGATGAGGATTACCTGTATTTCTAAACCATAGAAACGGGGTGTTTGCAGGGGTGATTCTTAGAACTGCACAGGAAAATCTCTTGGGTGTGATCAGAAAGAATTAAGATGGGAGCCACGGGTCTGGAATGAAATTCTGTCTGCTTTTTTATGGGCGCTGTGATTTTTTTTAGAACCACATGCTGTGGACAGACCAGCACAGGTGGAAAAATGCATGCTTCCAACACAGAAGACCTGAACATTTACCATCTGGTGCCCTCTTTTCAAGGGGGCTGGGAATTCTGGGTTTGGCAGTCCCAGACTAGGGAGAAAGTGCTTGTTGGGGTTAGGAATGCAATTGCTATTTTTTTTGGGGGGGAATTTAGGTTCATCTTGCCTCCCATTTGCCTGTTTATTTTGAGTGGCTCTGTTCATTTAGGTTTGCTGTCACATTGGGCCACCTTTCTGGGGTCACCTGGGCAGGTTGTTCTTGAAGTCATGGCCCCGCTTATTTGCAGCGCCTCCAAATATGGCTTGCCACAGTTTGAAGCGGCATTCTTCAACCTCTGCCACTTGATGCCGCCCATCCTCAAGTGACCAAGGTTGAGGAACATTGTTTTGAAGACCGATCACACCCTAAAGACAACCCCCCCCCCTCTTGCAGATCATTACATTTAAATCGTCCATTGCTGGATTTTGTAGTTCCTGAGCAAACCAAGCAGACCATCTTGCAAACCTCATAAACGGGACCTGGATCTGTTTTCTCTCCCCATAGCTAGGCATCCTAGTTTGTTGGACTCTAGCAGTGAGGCAGGTCAAGCTTCGCTATAAAGGAAAGACGGCTGGCCACAGAAATAAGGATGGAAAACACCCGTGGTGTCTAGAGCAGTGTTTCTAAACCTTGACAATTTTAAGGCCTGTGGACTTCAACTCCCAGAATTCCACAGCCAGCATTGGCTGGCTGTGGAATTCTGGGAGTTGAAGTCCACATGCCTTAAAATTGTCAAGGTTGAGAAACACTGGTCTAGAGGAAGCAGGATTGGGCCTGTGGCCAACCACAGAACAAGTTCAACTCCATCCTGCATGGGTAAAAATTCAGATTAAAGCACCTTGGATTGACGGCTGCCCAGCCCACTAACACAGCCATAACCACCTTGTTTGTGGGACACGGGTTCTTCTGTACAACTGCTCTTGCTACTAAGATTTATTTTTAATTTTTTTTGGTCTTTCGTTGGCATCTCCATTTTGTGACTTAAATCCATTGTTGAGCCTCCCCTGTGGAGGATGAAGACCAGGTCTTCTACAATGGCTTTGCCTACCTTGTTCGCCTCAACACTGGTG